TAGAAAAAGGGTTATGATATCCTTGAAGTTGAAAGTTGTAATAGTGTCATTCTTGAAATAGAGATGGACTTAGGGGTGGTTGGTTGGAAAGACATTTAATCATCCTTAAGAAAGTCATTGAGTTATCGATGTAACCATTGTAGGCACCCCTAGTTTACCCTTTTTGGTAAGGTGTGTTATAACTAGGTATGACTAAGATATGGTACCTCTTCTTATGCTCCTTTATTGAATTACTCGATGAGAACAAAGTCTAGCACCGAGAGAATATTCTTGGTGAGTAGCTCGAGTTGAGATGGAGACTAGAGTACAAAGAAACTCTTTATAGTCCTTAACCATGTGCATACATGGGATTTGTCCTAGTTCTACCATTGGCAAGTAGAACACCCTCTATCGGATTCCATGCCTAGCTATTATGTTCTATGTCGGTTGTTGCCTATTCTCTTATTGTGGGATACATGCTAGTGTTGGATGAGTACTATGAAGTTTAGGTAGTGGAATGGGATGCAATCGAGACATTAAATGAGTAGGATTTGAAGATGTTCATATATAGATTCATTTTGTATTCTTCAAGACCATTATGTGAAATTCCTTAACCGTTGAATGTCTCTTCAATGGTCTAATAAACATAATGACTTAAATTAAAAGTATGTTAATAAAATGGTACTTATCTAGAGTATCTTTAAGGACAGTTAGGTAGGCTTGCAGAGGGTGTATGGGCAGTGTTTTCATGTCTTACTTAGGTGAGTCTTGGAGTAATTCTAGGTAGGGAGTTAAATGCATTAAATGGGAATAATATTATCTTAGGTAGTCTAAAGTATCACTTTGGTGTATGTAAAGGAGTTGTATGGGCGGTCACTACACAACTAACTCAAGTGAGACTTAGAATCACCTTTGGTATGAGGGTGTCATGGTTATATGATTTAAAGTGATATTGATGATATATTATGGAATGTGAATATATGTTCTTATGTTGACCCAATGTGATCTCTTATACTTGTCTTTTGAAGTTTGACTCAAAGAAGAGCATGTTTTGTGCAAATGTCCCTTTAGCATGATTTAATGTATTATACCACACTTTTAGTGCATTCCAATGTACTATTGCATATATTTTGTCTATCGCTAAAGGTGTAGGTGGAATTTGAGAGGAGTCATTTGAAGTGGAAGCTTGGACTAGTATTCATTCAAGCAAAGTTGGGGTATGTCCTCAATTAATTCGAGGACATTACTATGTTTAGTTTCTTTGTTAGAAAAGTATTGTAATAGACTTACATACTTTTATATATTGATGTATTGGTCGTGTCCCAAGATATTTGTGTGTCTAATATGGAGACATTGAGATTTAGACTTTCCTTATGATTTTCTATTTAAAAAATATATTTGGAAGTCTTATTATTTAGTGTGAAAAGTTTTAATTCTGCACTACTTTTAATACATGTATGCAATGAATGATGTCAAAGGGCTTGTACAGGAACTTCGAGAGGTGAAGTAGAATGTGCCACGATTGAAGAATACCATTTCTTCTAGGGTATACTCTTGGGTCATGACACTCTCGTGATGTATTGATGAAATGGACTCCAAAACATGAAATTTTGATTACGGATTTATTATGATATTAATCTTAAACATGAATATGACTATGTCTTATTTGTTTTTGTGGTATGTACTTGTATATGTTCTTGTGTGCATAAAGTCTTATTTAGTGAACTTAGCATGTTTATATTAAAATGTCCCTTTGTGCATGTCTTCAAATGTTTTATTTGCATATATCCATATTCAGTACATGTGGTTTGTACTAACCGATATCTCTAATATTTCTACAAAAAGTAGGTTCGGGGAATTGACGTGCTTCAAGTCCATTATAGAAAAATTTAGGTTAGGGCCATTGAGGTGCTTCAAGGCCATTCTTAAAGAAGCTTGGATTGTTCCTGAGTTGGTAAGTCCCCAAGTCCAAGGACAACACCTCTGAATCTAGTTTTTGTTATTTTAATATTAAAGACATTATTCAATTTCCTATTCAAGGGATATGTTGTATTCTCTGATAAGACGTATTGTAATGATGTAAGGGCTAAGACCCATTTCTCTTACTCTTATGTTTAGATTGTCATGCAATACCTCTAATTTAACTTCAAAGAAAATTCTTAATTTTCCGCTTTTTATTCTATTTATGATACGATGATGTATGTTAAGAGCTTGTCTAATACCTCTTCGAGGACGAAGACGCCGGTTAAGGCTAGAGGGTGCTCTCCAATCATAAAATAGGGATTAATATACATTATTCGGCGCATGATTTCAATAGAAAATATAAAGAGTAATAGAGACTAGTCTATGCTTTATATGGAAATAAGTTCTATCTTAAGTAACATACCTCGTTTAAAGTGGGTTCCTCTCGGAGACCCATTTTCCGCATGAAAACCAGCCTGTGGCTTACCCATCTCACTCTCTCTAGCTGAGTGTTAGGATATGGGATTAGGGCTCACCCTCTCAAGTTGAACCTCATATCGACCCACTTACACAATCAATCTAGAGGTCTTGGTTTCGCGACCTCTGTCTCTCCAGAAAGCTAAAAGCACGTGGATGAACTTGTATTTGCAACTTCAAATCCATTATTATACAAACAAGCAAGTCTCAATAGCAAACTTAACCCATATTTGCTAAATCACAACCCAAGAAATGGGGTTTTATCCACACATCAAGAAATAGAAATTATACCACAAATGATAATTGAATCAAATGTTTATGAGAAATAAAATCTTGATTTGAGCAAAGAAATAAGAATTAAGAAGACCCACTCCAACTTGGGGAAAATGAAACCTTTCTTCTTCAAGTTTTCAAAAACCTATATAAAAAATTGAAAGAAAAAATATAAAATGTACTAAGAAAATATGATATTGTTTGTCTCTAAGTCGGAATTCTCAAAAGAACGACCCCCCTTTCTTAAAAACAACATTCTACTAGTATTTATAATTTTTAGAATTAATGTTCTAGTGGATCACATGGTGACTTTTATTGGAATCACCAATCGATTTGTCAAATCACCTTTTGTCTTAGTTCACCGCCTTCTGGTGTGGTCTTCAACATCATCGTGCTTTGGTTCATTGGGCGATCATATACTACTTTGCAGAACTACTTGGTGCCACGCCGACTTCTTTTCTCTTTAGCTGATTTGATCCTTTTCCTTCATGGATATGTGCACTAGAACAAAGGGCGAAGTAAGTCTTTTCTCCGATTCGCCGAGTGTACTTGGCGATACTCAGACTTCACTTTCTTCATTCTTTTCAGCCTTTTTGTCCCTTTTTGTGACGTAGTTTTCATGCTTTCCTAAAATCTTCAATTAAATAAAATTATGGGTTTTTATCAGATATTGGGATAAAAGAGCACTAGAGGACGCTATTTATACTAAAATTTAGCCCTAAATGAGTCCAAACTATGGATTCATTAACACTCCCAACTTAAAATTTTTCTTGTTCTCAAGTCAAACTCAAGTTAAGCAGTTCAAAATGAATGTTTCAAATAGTGGTACTCAAGAACCAATCATGAATTCAAAAAACAAGACTCAAACTACTTATGTAAGAATCAATCGTGTACTCAAAGATTCAAGTTGTGACACACCATTATCAAATATTCTCAAGCTCTCATTACTTTACAGATCATAAGAGTCTCCAATATATCTTTAAACAGAAGGAGCTGAACTTACGACAGAGGCAGTTGTTAGAGTTGCTAAAGGATTATGATGTTGATATTTTATATCATCCAGGGAAAGCGAATGTTGCAGCAGATGCTCTTAGTCGTAAGTCCATGGGTAGCTTGACAGATATACAACAAGAAAGGAGGGATATGGTTCGGGAGATTCAGCGGCTATCCAGCCTTGGAGTCCGTCTAGCTAATTCAGAAGATAGTGGAGTTTCTATTCGAGAGGTTGCTGAGTCCTCAATCATAGATGAGGTAAAGAGACACCAATACAAGGACCCTATTCTTGCACAGTATAGAGATGCAGCTCTTCAAAAGGAAAAGACCCCATTTAAGGTTACACCTGACGGAGTGTTACGATATGAAGGCAGATTGTGTGTACCCGATACTGCGGGGCTACGACGGTAGGTTATGGGAGAGGCACACTCTGCCCATTATTCTATTCACCCAGGGTCAACGAAAATGTATCATGACCTCAGATGCTTATATTGGTGGGATGACATGAAAAAGGACATAGCGGAGTTTGTTGCTCAGTGCCCGAATTGTCAACAAGTCAAGATCGAACATCAAAAGCCTGGTGGATTATTACAGGAGATAGAGATCCCGACTTGCAAATGGGAGATGATTAATATGGACTTCATTACAGGCTTACGTCGCACTCAATGGAAGTATGACTCTATATGGGTTATTGTAGATAGGCTGACGAAATTAGCCCATTTTCTTCCAGTCAGGACTACTTATTCGGCTGAAGATTATGCGAGGTTATATGTTAGGGAGATAGTGAGACTTCATGGAGTTCCCACGTCCATTATATCAGACAGAGGAGCTCAATTTACAGCCAACTTTTGGAGATCATTTCAGAAGGGAATGACCCAACCCGATGGGCCGTGATTTGATCGACCTTTATATCTTTTGTGAAATGGTACTTGATTAAATATGTATTTTAGAAAATATATTTCAAATTTAGTATTTTAGTCTATTTGATCTAAAATTTGATATTTTAGGACACGTGCTTTATAATAATTATTGTAAATATTATCAAATTATTCTCTTAAATTGCTTTTATCGACATTTAAACTCGAAATAATTATTTTATTCAAATGCTTTAAAATTTAAAAAATTGTAGTATTTGTAGTATCTTAATTGGATGACATTTTTGTAAATTTCCTCTAAATCATTTAAATTCAACATATTTTATTCTAATTTACCTTAATTCTAGCCTAATAAATTTCATTTGTATTTCAATTATAGACCACCTTTCATTTCAATTCTAGTCCATTCCATTTCAATTTTGTTTCAAATCCATTCTAAACCTCAACTCATCCGTCTTTTCCTTTAAATTAAATCCTAGCCGCACCCTTGCTCCTCTCTGTTTTGCTCCGGCAAGAGGAGCTACCAGATCGCTGCCAATCCTCCACTCCTCTCTCCCATTCTCCTCCCTTTTATTGATCTCTTTTCCTGCGCTCCCCTTCTCTCTATATCGTCCTTGCTCCCTCTGTTCTCTCTAGCAAAATACATTGGCACCCAGCTGCTCTGACAATCACTAGAGAGCTCCAAATAGCAGCATATCAGGCGAAGGGGAACAACTGGCGAGATATTTCTTTCCCCCAAGTCTCAGCTCCTCCATTCTCCAGGGAGCAAAGTAGTAGCAGCAACCAAAGGAACTAGAAGTAAGAAGCTCCGGCAAACTACAGCTCCGACCAAGCGGGATGCTCCGGCGAGGCTCTAGATTCTCAAATTTAGCACAATACAGGTCTTGACAAATCTGTCCAGGTTTCTCTTTGTTAAAATATCATTCATCTTTCAAAAAAGTGCTTAAATTAGACTATGATTTTTTGCTATATTTTAGTAGTGAACCATGTTGATGCATGAATCTTGTGTGAAGCATGAACAGTTAATATTTTTTTATTCATGTGGGTATTATCATAATATATGTTACGTGTTTAATTATATCCATGTTAGATTATGGTTTTTTTATCCATTCTGTAATCATCCTTCTCAAATAACTTTGATTGACTATGTTTGATCATGATGTGAAAATGTTAACAATGGAGTTAACTGCATCAATAAGTGATTCTGCATCAATGTGTTTTTGGCTGTTGGACTGTATTACAGTCATGGAATATCATATACACACCTTACTTAATTTAGCTACGTTAGCTACGACCTTGTGTATTATTCAAATGATCTAGTTTAATCTTAGATCAAGTTCCATGGAGGATAAATATAATTTTTATAAATTATTACGTGGTAAGTCACAGATAACTTCTGTATTACCTTATTCCAGTTTTCTTGTTGAGTTGGTAGTTAGTTGAGTGTCACAACCCAAAACGAGCCGCGAGTGACACCCACGCTTACCTCCTATGTGAGCGAACCAACCAATCTAAACCCCAACATTTCAACTATAATAAACAGAAAATAATGCGGAAGACTTAAAGCTCATTACTATAACCAATAAATAACTTCTAAAATTTATCAATTACTATCCCCAGAATCTGGAAGTCATCACCACAAGAACATTCTATCTAGGAAGCTAAAATAAGTAAGCAAATGGTCCATGTCCGAACTTCAAGGACATCAAGACATGAATGAGAGAGAATCCAGTCCGAGCTAGGAACAATAGCTCACCCTGAAATCTGACGTGATGAAGACTTGCTAGAGTTGAGGACGAGTCGAAGTCGATGGTACGTTTGCTGCACTCCACAAATATCAAAGAGAAATATACAAGTAGGGGTCAGTACAAGGCACAAGTACTGAGTAGGTATCATCGGCCAACTCAAAATAGAAAGCAATATATATCAGATAATAACATAAAATCAGTCATAGTACTTAACAGGTGACAACAACAAGTACCATAACCATTGGCCACAACACCAAGCACATCTATGAGGACTCAATCCTCCACACCATACTCATTTGGGAAACAGTTTCTTTAAGCCTGAGTATATTAGCATAATTCAAGATTCACTCTCTTTACTATCCTGGTGTCGGAACGTGACACTCCGATCCCCTCAATATTCAGTCATCTTACTATCCTGGTGTCGGAACGTGACACTCCGATCCCCTACTATCCTGGTGTCGGAACGTGACACTCCGATCCCCTACTACTACGTGTCGGTTCGTGACACCCGATCCTCTACTATCCTGGTGTCGGAACGTGACACTCCGATCCGTTAATTTCATTCTTTCAGTTCATCAAGCCTTCTTTTATACCAAGGCATCATCATTAACAAAGAAGTTTTAAGGTTTAAGATTCAACAGCCTCATCATGCTAATTCATCACAATTACATAATCACATCATGCAAGCACACAATTAAGCATATAGAAGACTTTACAATACTACCCAACACATATCATTCGCTATTAAGAGTTTACTATGAAATAACATAAATCATAACCTACCTCCACCGAAGAATCGTGATCAAGCAATCTACTTCTCCAATGCTTTGCTTTCCTCTTCGTTTCTCCCTCTCTAGTTCGTTCTCCCCTCTTCTCTCTGTTCTTTCTATTTTTCCTTATTCAAAATATTTTTCTTTTACCCTAATTACCATATAATTAAGTATAAAAGATGATAAAATTAACCCACTATTTATTTCAAAGTTATCTCCTTTAACCCCCAAGTAATTGAATTATTAACATTAAACCACTAACTTTAAAGTCATAAGCAGGAATAGTCCAAAACACCCCTTAAAAACTTTTAACAGAAATCTGACCCAGTCAGGGTTACGCAGCCTGTGACGGTCCATCGTGCCTGCGACGGTCCGTCCTGCTGAGTCGTCACAGAGTTTAGAGACTCAAATTCATTAAAGAGTCTGTGACGGTCCGTTGTGCCTACGACGGTCCGTCCTGCTCTTCCGTCGCGAAGTTCAGAGAGTTGTTCTCAGTACCCAATTTTCCAGAGTCTATGTGTTTTGGAACGAGACCCCCTCGATGGTCCGTCGTGCCCATGACGGTCCGTCGTGGAATCCGTCGACCCAGACAGCTATTACCAGAAATAAACTCTACTGCTCAAAACGACTAAACAGGTCGTTACATTGAGGCTAGTTTAGTATTTGATATATTCATATTAAAGAAATATCTTACTTATAGTGTGTGTATATATGTATTGAGGGTGGAAGCGGGATTTGGAAGTGGCATTAGAAGAGAATATTAAAGAGGAGAGAGCTGAGAGCTGCTTGTAAAGGATGATTTTATTATAAGGGGAAATCCTCTTTTTATACAAGGAAAACTTACTACTTTCGCCAAGTAGCCGACACATTCTACTATTCTACTTTACACATGGCACTTTTTATTTTGGCCGACACAAGAAAACAAAAGACTTTACACATTCTACTATTTTAATTTACACATGACCCTTTTTATTTTAGCCGACACAAGAAAACAAAAAACTTTATTTTATTTTATTTATTTTTTTATACTTTTCATAAAGCTACTGTTTTAAAAGTAACTTTTGACTAAGTCTATACTTGACTTAGACGTTTATTTTACAAAAAACTTTACATATCTTTTCTGATGTCTATCTCATCTTCTCCTATCTTTTCTTGCAAGCTGTCTGGCTTTCTTTATTCGAATAGGACTTCAGGATAGTATCATCTCCTTCATTACATTTCGAGCATATGTGTTCCGGATATTTGTGTCCAATTAACTTGCTGTATTTTGTTAATAATTCTTCAGAATAAATCCTTTTTTTAGTGCTCTAGTTGTTGGTGTAGATTCTGGTTTCAGTAGAGATAAAACCATTTCTGGACTTCTTCCATATATGCTAGTCTTACTTCTCGCGAATTGGCGTAGATCATTAAATGGTCTCTGAAATAATAACTCCATATAGCATTTCCTTGTAAATAATTATTAGCTAATTCTTGTATGATAGTTGATCAGCCAATTATTCTTTTATTTGCATAAAAATTGGGTATCTCAACTTTTGGTATCAAGGGTTGTTGTCTTATCTCTTCCGGTATTATAATCTCCCGAGTTAATCCTATTTTTACTACCTGGATCATCAGTTTTATCTCACTGTAGAGTATCTCAGCTAGTGCTGTATAGAATTTAATAAAAATTAAATTTTCTTTTGTTATTTTTTTATATGTTAAAAATGATTTGTGGATCTCTGGGATTCCACTTATCTCTTCTCCTGTATATGTATAAACTGTACTCGATAATCCATAATTATAATTTTTTTGACTAGATTGGGGTTTGTCTTTGGTTGTGCAATCAATCTATTGTAACCTTGTAGTTTTTGGGTTAAATAATCTTGGGTCTTTTCGGTAGTCGTGGTAGATCTAGGTTTAAGATTTAGAAAGGTTTGTATTTTGTATATATTTTCCATGTAAGTTTTGGAAATATGGTTATATATTTTCTTTTCTTTATGTAGGCTGGCTGCATATGTGGATGTTTGTGGTGTTGGAGTATCACTTATTTGGATTTTTGGAATAAATGGTTTCGCAAATAGGCTATTTAGATTTGTATTTCTTGGAGTAGTTTTTTCCATAGCTCATGTGCTTGTACCTGCAATATTAACAACGTTGTGGATTTTTAGGAGTTTCCCAACGTCTCCTTCTAGCTCTGGCTGTTTACCGTCTGCCGAACGACGTAGCTCCGCGTGTTTATAGTCATGCTGCTGACTTATAGCTTTAGATTTCAGTATCTCTTCATTAGTCTCTAGCTTTTGTACTCTCAAGCCTATATTGTCCACTTTTGTGCAAAGTGTAGTTAAGATTTTGAGTATATTTTCCATTGGATTATCTTGTTCGGTTTTAGTAGCTTTGTCTTGATAGGTATTCTGCGATCATATTTTTATCAGTTTTGACTACTTCAACTGCAAACGTAAAATTCAGTATATTTAATACCAATCTTCGTATTTCTTTAGTCGTGACTGAATCATGTAATTTTCTAGTGATCCACCATTTAACTTGTGTATTATCTGTTCTAACAATAAATTCATTGTAAACTATATATGGTTCGAATGCTAATAAACATTTATATAGTGCAAATAACTCTTTTCTATTTATTGCCCATTTTAGTTGTGCTTCTGTATATGATCCTGAGTAATATCTGCAATGATGTTCAATCTGTTCGTTATCGTATCTATATTTCAGAACTCCTCCATAACTATGGTTACGTGAGTCTGTTTCTACAATATATATAAATCGTTTATCTTCATCTGGAAAATATAGTTTTGGTAATTTTTTGCATAAATTCTTGATACGTCTTATATGTTCTTTGTCTTTATCATCAAAATGATATCCAACATCTTTCCTAAGTTTTTTATGTAATGATTTTAGATATTCTTCTAATTTTGGTATATATTCTCTTACTTGGTTTACTATTCCTAAAAATGATTGTAATTTCTTTTTTGTATCTATATTTTCATCAAGATTAACAATCTTCTATACAATATGTGTTTGCATTTTTATTCCATTTTTATCTATTTGTATTCCCAAGAATTCTATCATGGGTTTCATTATTTCTGCTTTCCTTTTAGTTAAACTTATGCCTGAGTGTTTAATTATATGTATGAATTTTTCTAATAATTATATATGTTCATCTTGTGTTTATGTCGTCTATATAAACAATACAGTTTTCTAATTGGTTAAAATAGTTATCCATAAAATGTTGATATTTTCCTGGTGCATTTTTGTATCCAAAGGGTAAAACATTTCATTCATAGAAACCTTGCGGTACTGTGAATGCTGTTAGCTGTTTAGATTCTTCTTCTAATTTCAAGTGATAAAATCGTGATTTACAATCAAACATACTAAAATAGTTATATCCTTGTATCTGTCTTATTTTTAGTATCTTATTTGGTATTGGATATTATATGTTTTAGTTTTAGCATTTAAGTTGCGATAGTCTATAACCATTCTACTTTTACCTCGTTTTTGTTCACTATGTTTATTAACTATAAATGATGGACTTGTATGTTTACTATTGCTCTCTTGTATATAATTATTTTTTAACAGTTCATCTTTATGCATTTTGAATTCTTCTAAATCATAAAAATTATATTTTAGTGGTTTTTGTGTTATTATACTATTTTCATTTATAAATTCAATTTTTACTTTCGTTTTATTTTTTTCCATCCTTGTAATGGATTTTCACTATATAATAAATTTAGTTGA